AATGATAACTCTTCCATGCATAACTTTTGAGATAACATGCATTACATTCTTCTAGTGAAGAAACACATTGGGCGAGGGATGGCCATGTTGACATGGCTCTTGTTATTTGGGAAATAGGAATAGCTAGGTTTTAACAGCTTTACAAATATCGTTGTAGTAACTGTGCAGATAGCAGATGTATAGGATAAATAGAAGTGAAAGAAAGTATATTTTCACCGTAGCCGGACTGTATATGAATGCAAATGAAATGAAAATATCTGAATAAAGTGGAAATATTGTTAGAAACACACTCCGTGGTAAAAAAATGTGTTTAATTACGAAAAATCCATGAATTTCTGCATAAATTGTTTTCGAAATATACCAAAATTTACATATTAATTACTTTTTGAACAAGAGCAATATCACGTCACGATTTGATGAATGACAGGGCATGACGTTACGCGGTAAAGAATCAGTAAAAAGGACTTAAAACAATTATTAGCATGAAATAAATAGACAATGCGTGTGCTTTGTATGTAATATCAAATTATCTCAAGAACACCAATTATCTGCAATATATTTCACTCTTACATACAAAACAAACAAATACATCTATAATGTATGTATACTGTCAGTATCAATATATGAGTTGTTGTAGGAGAGAAAGTCTAATTCCAGATCATACAGTGAATTTAATGAGTGTGTATGGAAATATATCTCCCGTCCGATGAAAAATGTTCCTGTCGTGAAAACGAATAAACCCAAACTGTAAAAGAAGACACACTATAAATCAATAATAACTCTAACCAGATTGAATATATTGAATATAATTATCCATAGTCTATTCGTAATATTTTAGATAAATATGTGCATTGTACTAAATAAATGAGGAATAGTCCACCGATATTGGTCCTCACTGGTCGCATTGTCAAGTTCTGTTGCCACGAGCAGGTTAATTGTAATAAATTGGCATACGAAGTGACTTTTCTATATCTAATAAAGCTCTGTTAACATGATAAAACTCTTTAATATGCAGTTTTTCGAAAGTGTTCAATATCCATTTCCTTGACAAGAAGTGGTTACATTAACAACTCCATTAAACGAGACTTGATGGATTATTTGTAAGGCAACATATTTCATCAAATATTAATTTACGGGTTTAATTACGTCTGTCATTTCTATTAATATCAAAATAAATAAGTTCACTTGATGCTTAGTGGTCTATAAAATTTGCTTTATCCGCGTCAATATCTAACCCATTATAACCAAATCAGTCACATATCTGTCGAATCGGAAGAAAAAGCAAATAATTACAGATCATGGTAATGTAAGTGAATGTTTCTCTGGAATAATGCACAATAGTGTCAGTGATAGTTAGATTACAGATAAATATCAAATGTGTTCTATGTAAGCTCCTTCTTATGCACAAAACAAAGCCTTACTCGACCAAAAGTATTTACAGTCAGTTTCAGAAAAGGTACTTAGATATTTCCATGTGTTATACCAATTGTAGTAAGAAATGAAATTAAAACTGTGCGATAGTTTAACAAGTTACAAAGCAAGTTATTCGTTTCGTTTTCATTTTCTAATCTTTTTATTTTTCTATTATATTAACAAAAGGATCGAAACATTTTTTTTTCAAATCAAATGATTGAAATGTTACTTTATTTAAACAAATTATAACTATAATACATGTACCCGTATACAATCAATGAAAAGAACTGCCCAATGGCTTAACCATAGCACATACAAAGCTCTTTCGAAATATTAAATATTTCATTTATCTGATGAATCCTTTTAATCTAGTTTTACTGTCTGCTATCACCTCATCAATGAGATATTGAAAATTATAATACAATAATGTACAATAATAAATAAATAAACCAACGTACACCGAGCATTGCAAGATTTAGGTAGAGGAATCTATATATTCCCATGATACTTGACCTTCCATTAAAAAGAAGCAAATGTAATAACGACTGACATGACGCTGAGTCATCCAACTTGTTTCTTAAACAATTATTTATTCTAACGTTTCATGGAGATTGTGCCTTTTGTATATATTCTAATCAAACTGTCCACAAATAATGCCAGCAAATAATCTAATTGTGTGTAAAATATGATTTGAACAAATTGGCAAAATAAAACAGTAAGCATTAAGTTAACAAATCATTAAATTTTGTTCCTATAATTGCTTCTGTGATAATTTTTAGAATTGTTTGTTTAATGCGATTTACCGGACTGAAGTACTGGAAGTACTATTTAAAACAAATGACATTGGACTAATTGTCAAATGTTCACTATTATCAGGGACATTACATTCTAAATAAGATTTATCTATGTTCCTTATAAAATGCACACTAAATTAAGAATAAAACGAAAATTCTGTCTTGATTTAAAAATGCCTGTCTAAGTCATTGCCTTTATGTACAAAGGCGATTTCAGTCAAACCTTTGTGATTGAAGATTTTGTCAACCAAATAAAAAGATGGTCTTTAGTCAGACGTGACAAAGCCAGTTGTGAAATACTTAATATCTGAAAAAAGCGATCCTTTGGAAGCATTAAAGCACCAAAATACACGAAAAAAGTTACAGATTCGGGTTGATTGTTTCTGTACATGAGGTATAATGAAAAAGTGCAACATCCCGCACGGCTTCTAGCACTGGCTTCAGTGATGCTCAATTTTCAAGACTTTTAAGCGCTGGAATCAGATCCTGAAACACCAGGAAAATATAACAACACTGAAGTTTAATACAGGGCAACATTGTACAGCTGCCAAACAGCACTTGACACTTGCTGTTTGCACTATGAACCTTAAGGTAGTACCAAAAAATTTAATTATCAAAACTTTTGTGTTTTTTAGGATAAAAACATTATTAAAATGCTGACAACTAAAATGCTAGCAAGGAGAGCAAAATATTTTTTTAAGTATAATATGATCTTTAACAGAAGCATTCTCCTTAGAAAGCTAAATAATTGCTTAAAATGTTCCGAATTGCGGTAACAAGAAATGCAATTAACCGAACCAAATGCATGTCTCTAAGAGTAGTCTTTAATAGAAAAAGTGGGCGAAACATGTTAATTTTTTCATTATATCATCGTATCTGTATAACAGGGTAATTCAGTTCATCATTGGAATGCAAAATGCCAACTTTACATGCGATTCAAACTAGAAAAGACAATGAGCATATAAGTTTTAACCCCTTTTATTTCATAATACCATTTTTGATCTTCAGTATTCAATGCCCTTAAACTATTAGGTTCCAGTGCATAAATTTTGCGTGTCAAAACAAAACTAGAGGCTTCACTTTAAAGAAAATAGGTGATGTTTTGTCCCCTTCTTTCATTTGTCCACATGAGCAAGAGGGAAATTAAAGATTCCTAAGGTACAGTAACGCGCACAATGAATACATTTCGAAAATATTTTGCCAATTACATGATTTGGAATAATATGTTCGTCTTTTTAAAAAATAATCTTTTACCTTGGAAAACGTTGCTTTTTAATTTGTTCCAAAAAATAACAAAAGCACACTTACGACATTTTTACTAGACTAGTGTTATTACAAAGTGGACAAACTGTAGCAGGAATGTAATAAAATTGAATGGGAAATCATTTATTACCCTAGTTCTTATTGCAACATGAAACAGTAATTCAGTTGCAAATTATCATTCGTTTTTATTATAAGTTTTTTACTTCATGGCACACTTAAATATACCACTGGCATAATCCTAAGGGAAAACATAACACCTTATTTCAATTTTGTTTTCATATGTTTTGACGTATGTCAGTTTCTGACATTGAGAAATCAATAGAAATGGTGCAGTTTGCAAACTAACATCCGACGGTAGTGAGTTATGTATCCAGAATACGAGTACATACCCAATATCAGTTTTGAAGAATACAGTATCTCAAACACTTTTTACTGTAAGACGGATGCACATTTCTTATTGAAGATGTTGCTTGTTATGTATACCGTATTTCAATTGGCACATGTGCAGTAAATATTTATTATGCGAACAGCCCGAATATGTCTCGAGTATTTATTCAAATCATATAACAGTATGCAAATGCTTTTGTGTTTTATATTTTATTTTCATTTCAGTTTTTTTTTATAATAAGTAATATCAAATGTTGACATTTGTGTCATATATCGCCGAATGTATTTTGCTTTTGTTATTTTACTCAGAAAGCCGCACTAAATAGAATCTGAGTGTTAAATTGACTGAACAATAGTTTATTTACATTCTATTAGATATCAAATCTCATAGACAATGTGTATCTTTTCAGACACTGTATTTCGGAATAAAGTAAGCAGTATTACAGTTATAAAAATGATTAATGCTGAAAGATAGGATTTAAAAATTGTTCGCTTTTTTATTTTCAATAATTTATAAATGACAAAGAAGCAAACTATACCATCTACCAAGTAAATATTAAATTAGTTGCTGTAGTATTTAGTATTAAAGACTGGACAGAAGTAACGTTCTGCATTCTCAATAAAACTGTTGCCTAAAGATTTTGAATACATTAATCTTATTATCACTGTTATATTGTATCCAATTAAAGGATTGAATTAACTTCTTTTATTACAGATACAAGCAAACCACATCAACCCGTCAAAGTACATAAAAGCAAACCAAATTGTATTATTCATGTTTGGACAGGTATATTTTAATGATTTTACACTTTACTGGTTGGCGAGATAACTTCGACACGTAGATAACTTCGACACTTCGTTAATTCGATCGATTAAACATTTTTTTACCAATAATCAAGCACACCGTCGCTTAGTTACATTAGAACAGGTTAGCCACTGACGATCTGGTTCAAGTCGGTAAGCTTTTTCACATCTATTTATTGACCTCTACTTTCACTTTATAAATTTCCCCTCGAAACATCCGGGGGACTCCGAATATACTGCGCATGCGCAGCGCGCTATCTTATGAGAGGCCCGTAAAGGGTTCTATCGATATTGCGCTACCAAATGGGCTAGCAGACGAAAAGAAGAAATTAGTAAAAATGAGTATGCTTAAATTTGCTAAAATGAAAATTTATAATCATTTAAAGGTAAAACGTCCACGGTAATACCGGAATGCCTAAGACTGGATTTCTATCACCCTAGACGCTGTACCTTTCAGTAATACCCACAAGTAAAATAAATTAAAACAAGTATTCTGTAAAAATAAAATAAAATATGAAAAAGTATAATCTAGATCTAATTTTCTGACTTTCATTGTTAAATATCACCCAATTTCTTACTTTGTGTGGGGAAAATTTCCGCAAGTCCGTGTTTTTCAGTCCCTCTTACTTCTGATTAAATGTTTACGTCCCCACGAGGGGTTTGGCATTATTACTGGAAGAGAGATATTGTAGGTCTAATAAATATGTATATTTCTGTACCAGTTATGGGAAAGCAATATACTGAGGAAGATCTTAGACAGGCTGTTTCTGCAGTGAAGCAGAAACGATTGAACATCTCACAGGCCGCTAAGGAATACGGAGTTCCGAGAACCACAGTTATGGATCATCTTAGAGGCAGGGTTAATAGCTCAAAGTGTGGAAGAAAGTTAGATCTTCATGAGGTGGATGAAAAAGCACTGGTGGCTTTCATTAGATATATGTCCGATCATGGCTTTCCGATGTCGAGGAATATGATACGTTGTTACATAAGAGAGATACTGCGGAGATCTGGTAATTAATTGTCAATTACATTTACAAAATCTCGGACTAAATACTAGTTTTTGTCCCAGACAAAATGTATACCGGTACTATAGGTAATTATTATAAAAGTAAAATGAAACAAGTCTTTGATTACAGTTGTTCTTGATATTGTAAACATTGTTCTAAAATTTTAATTACAAATCTAAGTAAACGTCTGTTTGTTGGGTTTTTTTTTATTATGACGCATAGAAGAGGTGTTCAGCAAGGTACGATCTTTGATTGAATTCCGAGTTTATCTATATAAATCGGTTAGTAATAATCATTTCCAGGAACAAATGATGTGAGCTTTTCCCTGGAATAAATATATAAAAAAGTCCATAGAAATTTTCATATAAAAATATGTTAATCGTGTTTTAAGTACGTATGTTAAGAAACGTATGTTACGTATTCGATTTTTTGTTGTTGATTTTTTCTCTCTCTCTCTTTTTTTAAAATCATAATCATGGGAGTTGTTTACTACAACTTTATAATGTTGATGATTATAGCGTACATTTTTGCTATAATAATGATGATGGTAAAATACATGTTTTGCAAAGCAAATATTCCGAAACATTTCAATTGTAAACACCTAGTCCAAAAATTATTTAATCCTTTTATATTTTGTGTGCTTTTATTCATACACGATTACAGGACGTGTGGCAAGGATAAATGTAGAGAATGGCCCAGCGATCAGTGGTTCAGAAATTTTTATCTGCGTCACCCAGACCTATCTGAACGCAAGCCGGAAAATATGCCAGCCAGCAGGACACGAATGTCGAACGAAGAGTGTATAAATAAATGGTTCAGTTTTCTGAATGAGACACTGGAAAAGTACGGCCTTAAGGACAAGCCGGAAAGGGTAAGATAATATACTGCACTTAATTAAATTCAAAAGTAATATACAGTTTTTTCTCAAATGTTTAACTTGCGCGATGATTATTTTTTTTTTAAATTGCATCTCCTTTTGCAGATATTTAACTGTGATGAAACCGGATGGACTGGAAAGGAATCTACAAGAACAAAGGTGACCGGTCGGAAAGGGGGGCATTTATTCAGGCAAAATGCTACTGTAAATAGCCACGTTACTGCACACCTTTGCATTTGTGCAGACGGAAGATTCATTCCAACTATGCTAATTTTCCAGGCAAGTCATTTTAATATAACTACACAATTCAATTAATTATTGTGCATTATCTTATACACATTTTCTTTCCATACATGTATATACGTGTGATTAAACTTTCATTTTTTCAGGGTTGTTTACTTCATTTTTTCAGGGTTGTTTACCACACAGAAATTACAAAGACGGAATTCCATCTTCTTGGTTTTTCTCTTCCTCTGATTCCGGCTACATGGACGGCGACTTGTTTTCTGAGTGGTTTAAGTCTTGTTTTCTTCCAAATTGTGGACGTGACCGTCCCGTCTGCCTTATAATGGACAATCATGATAGCCATCTGACTCTACCACTCGTGGAAATGGCTATAGAACACGAAGTCGTGCTTGTTGGATTACCAGCCCACACCACCCACATACTTCAGCCGTTAGATGTTAAGGTAAGTCAATGGATATGTCATTACTAAATTCCAAGAAATAAATTCATATCTCAAGAACTGCAAAATGCTACATATCCCATTGCTACATATCCCATTTTTAAGTGAAAAGGTATTTTCATAACTGTTAACAACAAACATTTGATATTGATTGAAAACTCGTGATTTTCAGGTTATCGGACCTCTTAAAGGCAGGGTCACCACTCTTGCTGAGAGATGTGGGTTTCTTAATAATAATTTCTCAATCAGCAAAGCCAGATTCCCTGTGCTTTTAAATTACGCCATTGACCAAACCACACCATCATCGGTTAAGGAGGCATTTTCAGCAACAGGGATCTGCCCACTAAATCAACATGCCATTGACAAGAGCCAACTTGTGCCAGCCTCTTTCAAGCCACCGTCCTCAGAGGAAACTAAGGAAGGTAATTACTTATTTTCTTGTATTATTTAAAACTGATTTGTAGCTCGTGATATACCTTTGTACTTATCCAAAATAACAAAGAAGTATATTTAGAAGTTTTTTTCTTGAATGAAGATCGCGTGTGGCTTATCATTCTAGCAAATATAGTTCACGCATACGTTACTTTGCATTTTTTTTAATTCAACGATCTTAATATTTCTTATTGTGACGTGCTTTGTTTTCCTTTTCTAAATGTAAATGAATTATGTCTTAGCAAATGTGCAACCATATTTAACGTAATGTATGTGTTTTAGAACCAGAATCTAAGGAACAGGACAGAACATGTCCAACCGGTGGCGCTAACCGTCTTAACCCGTTAGTGAAAGACGGCCTTGTACCTGAAACTTTGGCCGATGTTTTGATGCCTCAACCAATGAAGGCACAGACAGAAAAGAAAAAGTCGCGTGTTGTACTGGAAGGACGGGTGATAAGTGGTGAAGACATGCTGATAAAACTCAGAGTAATAATTTGAATAATTCATTGAAATAATCAGCGAATAAATAAAACAAAAAACAAAATATGCGCATTTTAAAGATACAGTCGGTTTCTTAAAAATAAAACCAAACTTATCTAATTTCATTATTGTAGATTTGGGAACGTATTAAAATGTATATAAGATTCTTTAAGTAAAAGATTTTTGGTAATAGCAGAAAAATGTAGTCAGCATAAATCTGAATTTTACATGAATAAATATTATATAAATAAATCGGTATAATTTCATTTTCTTCAGGAGAAAGAAAAGGCATTAGAAGAGAAAAGGGAGAGACAAGAAGAAAGAAAAAGGAAACGTGAGACAAAGGCTGAGGAAAAGTTAAGTAAAGAGAAGGCGAAACTGAGAAGAAAAGAGGAGAAAGTAAAGAAGATTTCAGAGTCTAAACAAAAAAAACAAACAATTGTTAGGAGGAAGCGAGTCACAACTGACGAGGAACGACCACAAAATGAAAGGCAAAGCAGACTTGCCAGTCCGATTTACACGTGTGGTGTATGCAGTGTGCGAGGGAGGGTTGATGACGAGGCACATGGCATAGAGTGGGTGGGGTGTGATGAGGACATGTGTTTGACTTGGTACCATTTTGAATGTTTAAGTAGTGAAGAGAAATAGTTCGTTCGTGAGAGCCTGTCTGAAGGTAGCGATTGGTTTTGCAAAGAATGCAAGCCATGGCTTTATACCGAAGAATAAAGCAATATCTTAATATTGTCAAATGTATATACAAAATCTGCGCACGTGTAGAGCTGTGTTTACAGATATTCATGTATATTCAAAATGATTATCAAAAGGTTTTGGATTAAATTAAATATTGAAGTATCTTTTATTTTTCAGATTTAAGAAGCAACTCTTTTATGTTAAACTTTACACTTGTGGCCGTTTCACAGTCGTTAAATCTTTTATTAATAAATTTATTCTTGGAACGTTTTAAACATTAGTTTGTTTGATTTTTCTTACAGGTGAATCAATGATTTTTTCATCTTGTTGTTATCAGCTATGACCATTTATTGTCATAGATAGCTTCTGATTTTAATAATTCAAGTGAAATACTTCACGTTTATTTAATGCGTGCAATAGCTTTGGATAATTGTGTTGTTCTGTCGGCAAAAGTAACTAGACAGCATTGAGCCACGGTAATTAAGCATGGTTATGAACGTTGGCCATAAATTGTTAATAATTTCAAAGTATATGGTAAAAATATCAGTATTAGGTATGAAAAATATATAAAGTATCAATAGAAATGATTATTTTTGATTTTCAGCTGTTTCTGGCCTAAAACGTAAGGTGTCGACGTTATCTACTGTCGCGGTGCAAAATAACACGTTTTGGGTACCTCATTCAGGGCCTCATAGAAGTACCTGTTCTGTTTCTAAAAATAGTTTTTTTCGGTGTCGCGTAAAATTGACTGACTGAAGTTTGTGTAAGTATGTTACGGGTGTAATTTATAAAGTTACCTATCAGATATTGAAGAAAAATTGTGTTTTAGTGTCGAAGTTATCTCGCCAACCAGTAGAGAAAAATTTCTCAATACTGATACATTTGTTTCACAAAAGTTTAAATTTAAATCCCAAAGATATTGCTTAAATAATAAATGCATTTCAGTCTATGGATACAATAACGGGAATCAATCATTGTGTCAAAATATTTCATGTGTTGTAGACATTGCAGCGTTATTTTAATCGCTTAAATTGTGTGTTTCATTTGTCATAGAATTACTAATAAAAGAGATTTGGAACTTAATCGTTTACGAAATGGAAACAGCGTTGTAGTTATAATGTTCCAATTTCTTATTTAAGAGACATAATTATAACAATTACAGGATAACAATTAATAGGCATTGGTGCTATAGAAAATTCCATATCAGGAGACAGCTGGGACTGTGACTGTCAATTCCTACCACTTATTGTTATATATCACACTTAAGCGTAAAACAATACCTGTAAACTGATGCTATATCTAATCTGATGACGCATATAGCTTGATTCAAAAAACATGGTAACGAACACCCGGCGCAGTGCGTAAATTTGCGTTGTCACCCGGCGCTTTATACTGCATGTATTTTACATATGGCTAATTTAGATTTCAAAATACGCCAAAACGACACGATATCTTTGACGTTGTCAGAAAAAAATGACTTTATTTAAATCGTATTTATCTTTGCAATCACAATTCAAACATCACTTGTTAAAGAAATTCTAGTGTTAAAACTATGTCGTTGGAACGTCTCGGAAATCGATCAATAAGAAAAGTTTGTCAACAGTAAGGCGAGAAACTGTTTAAAACGTAGAAAAAGATTATGACTAACAATAGAAAAGTTCCAGTAAGCCACGACATAGTTTTTGATAAGCATAAACTTAAGGATGAAGAAAGAGTAATAGAGAAATAGAAAACAAATAAGGGAGAGGCAGAAAAAAGAAAATTTCAAGGACGTTTGTGACGTCAATCGCCGAGACGTTGAAAAATGACAATTGATTGACTGCGGACATTGTCAGTGATGTTCAACAGTAGCTACGGGACGGTGCATTTATTACATATATTGTATTCTTGGTTTACAAACTTATAAATTATTTTATTAATTTGTATATTACAATTGTATAAATTATTTTATTAATTTGTGCAGTAGTCTTATGGAGAAATTGTGTCAACCGATTCAAATTCGGCTTTGCATTTTATTTATTTTAAAATAATGACAATTTTGTTTTAAGTTGTATTATTCTTTTATTTTATGTATGATACATTATCATTCAGAAGCATTATTTTACATTATTTGTAATATATAATATAGTTTATTGTATGTGCGATTTTTCCAGCAATCAAGTTACAAAAGGAAAGAACGGGAGTTTGCGTAATTACAGGAGTTCTTTATCATCATACATTTTATTACAATACAATATGTTACCGACATGTACAGAGATATATATATTAGGCAGTGGATAACATGTGTACCACGTATTACTTCGATTGTGACGTCAATTTTTTATTTATACCGTGCGCCGCATTGCTTTACAATGCCAATAAAAGCAAAACTGTTTTCTTTGTTAATATTTCTTGTTGGTACTTTTTGTATCATTTAGGAGAAAGATTCCGATTTATTGTACGTGTATTTTTATGTAAATTCATTCATCAGGTAAATATTCATTGACAAAGTCCGGATAATTTTTGACCATCCCTCGTATCTATAACAGCTCAAATAATTGCAAAATAATATAAGCTTCAAATATGTCACTGTTCTTGCTTTCAAAATGTCACTGTATTTTATTCTGTGTCAATGCAGCTGTTGTAATTTCTTTTTATTTTATGCTTTTTCAGTAGATTACTGATTTATCCGTGAAAATTATATTTGATGATTTCACAGTGAAAATTATCAAAATATAATTTCAAACTTTTCAATAACGAAACTAATTTTTTAAGATTTCCCCATGAGGCACCTCAATTTCATTTTTGCTGACAATTCTGACAATGTCAGGCTGTTTAAAGAAAAGCAAAGCTGAAATTGATAAATAACTTAAATGTCAAAAGTAATAAAAAGAAAAAAAACTTACTTATTTTCATTCAAATTCTAATCACCAAATATCGTCACTAATTCTCATTGTTTCATTTTCACAGTCTGAAAAATGCATACCTTCCACATGCAAAACTGCTTTTGATGACATTTTGGCATATTTAAGCATCCTTCATGCAATAACTGCCGTATGCTTTATGAACACTTGAAAAGCAATGACAGCCATAAGTTAACAACCCAGCGTTCGTAAGGCAGCCTTTGAACAATTCCAAGTTTTCAATTTTCCTAGCCGCTTTTTGAATGTTTTCACATAATTATGTCGACAGTTATTTTTTTGTCTGTTACAATCCTCAAATAAAATTTCTTTCTTTAAAAAGGTGTATGACTAACAAATCCAAATGATATCCCTCTTAATCAAACACAATTATTTTCCTCCCGTGAAATACACAACTTTTAAAAATGGCTGCCGCTTACATTTAACATAGCCAGGTCTTATATAAATTCGCAGTCAGTAACAGAAATAGGAATGGGTGGTTGGACTTTTTCTCCGACTAGAATTGTAGCGATCATTCATATTTCTTTAATAAAATGAATAATATCACCATCATTTAACGTTGATTGTCGAACTTATCTTGCAACCCAAGACTTCTTGTATTTAAAGAGAAATTCCGACTAATTGAGGCTCTCAATGGGGAAAACAGATTTTAATATTAACGTTAATTTTATGGAAATTTCGTTTTAACTTGTTTTTAAGCATAAAATAAAAATAAAATTATTTGTTTGTTGTGTAAGATGTAATTTTATTTCATCTCGTGAACTATAAAAACAGTATTCTCACGAGTAGCTACGCACAAAATACTGTTTTTAAAGCCGACTCTATGAAATAAAATTTCATCTTACACACAAACAAACAAATAGCCTCTATATCTTTGTTTATGTGTAGTGTTGTTTAAAGGAATCATGCTACCTAATTACACAAACTACTAACCTTTATCATTAAATATTTGGCATTTTAAGTGAAGACTTTAATTGTTGTATATATTATTACATGTTCACTATTTTTGATGTTATAATACTCACATGAGTTTGCTAAACATGATTGCTTGTTTGTAATGAAGTGGGGAATTGCTGCGTTTGGAATGTACCAAAGTTTTACAAGTTTTTCGTTAGAAATGTACACAAGTCCATGTACTATTGTAATATTTTGATTCATTAACAACAACAGCGATTTTATTTGGACGTATTTAATGCGTATATTTTTTTTACATGTTTTTTTCTCTGATATTCAAGGACTTGTATCGTATCAGGTATAATTCTTGACATTGAAACAACAATCGTGTTTAAGCTTGATAAATGAGATTTCATACTGTATCATTATATCGTGCAGACTAATGGAATTATTGTAAGATATCTTCAGATTCCGCTTGCCGATTAGTATCATTTTCGGCTAAAATGGTGTATTTTGTGCATGTGTTTTCTGTTGTTAAAAGTTTCGTATAGATAAGAAACTAATCGGTGTAAGCTGACAGCCTATCCGAAATAATATTTATTGTATCATAGTTTGGGGACCTTTCTGTTGAAAATGCGTTAGAGTTAAATCGTATACATATACATGCACAGTGCGTTATTACTTACCCGCACTCCCGAGCATGCCCATTGATTGGCTCATTTTTGCTTATTTTGACGGCAGAGAAAGGAAAAGCGATAGATATATCATATTCAGATGCTCGTTCATTGGTTCCTTTTCTCTGGGGTTTCATATTACTAGTATGACAACCTGGAACGTGTTTTTATGTTTGACTATGATACAAAAGAGAAAGAACATCAAAACACTCGGCAATCTGTTTAATACTCGTGGGGCTACGCCCCCTCGTACAAATTAGGTAGATACGTGTTTCGATGCTCTTTCTATTACATGTATCTTTTTCTCACATAAAACGTTATTATTTTTGATTTTTTAAAAATAATAAAAACTTTCAAATGTTAAATTTTTGATTAAATGATTAATAATTAATTGAAAATAATAAATAAAAATGTTGACCTGGGTTCTTTCATTTTTATCGATTGTACTTGGAATTGCTACATTCCTTTCCAAAATTATTTTTTCAACAACAACATTAATGTTATAAGAAATTGGTGGTTGATTTGGGCAAAGATTGGAATATTTACGATTCTTTAGAGACGTTTTCTGCACACTGTCCCGTAAGTCATAATTTGAATTTACTAACAGTAGTTACTTTCTAAATACCATTTAGATAAAATCGCCTCGAAAAGTTGCAAAAAGTATACGTAAAAAGAATGAATATACCTAGAAGGAAAAATAACTATTATAATCTTTAAGTGGATAATGTTTGTTAATATAATTTCAATAACATCACAATAATATTGAACAATATTGCTCATTGACACTTTGTTTCGAAGAATGCAGCATATTCAATATATGGAAAAATGTATGAGAACTTACATTATTTACTTAACATTTCTAGAATTCAGCTTCCTAACATGAGAAGCATAATGTGTACTAAAGTTTTTTCATTGACAACTTCAATTTATGTGATAGATATTTATTTAGAATTGGCAAGCAATTAAACTCCTTATTAAGTGCAAACTTTAATAAGGCTTAAAGTTAATCAGCATTATACTTAAAAAAGACGTGAAGAAAAATTGCATATAAAAGCCTGCCTCTCCTTTATATTTTAAATTAATTAACTAATTGTTCTCAAACGCTCCACTTATTATTAATGAAATGCATGCCAAAGCGCGACATAAATATTACACCATCGTAAAATTATACAACAAGGGACACTGGTAAATGTAACAATCACAGCAAGCTATGTTGAACTGCTTTATCGTTTTACATCAACACAAAATTCAACAAATCGTGAAACGTGTTATGCTCAAGT